TGGACTTCAGCACCTTTACTCGGAGGAAACTGATGGCTTGTTGCCGCGCCGCTGTGGAGAGTGCCAAGCCGGCATTTTCTTCGCCAAAAGGCAGTGCCAGCCCTGTGCATTCACATGTAGAAGAGATGGTGGGCCAGTCCTTTGAGCATGTCAGTCTCTGCCAAAGTGGCACGGCAGCGCCGACGGTGTGGAAGCTGTTACTTCGGTCAGGGACCAGTACGTGTCATTTTCGTGCCCACTGGGTGAACGTGGGTGCGGCTCAGGCCCGCACCAGCAACTTGGACAGGTCACGCCGCTTTTGGCCTCCACGTTACTCCTTGCACGTCCTTCGGTCCGGCAAAGATGTCCGCCTCTATACCAACCTCTTCTTCCGCCATTTCCTGTCCTCAGCCGCCACCGCCCGTGCCAAGTAACCATTACCCGACCGGCATATCACAATGTGCAGGGCGCAACCGTGTCACGCTGTACTGCACCTGGTATGGCCCTTGGCAGAACTGTAGATCACACAGGGGAGGAACTTCTGAGTGTAATGAACAGAGTCTTTACGACAGATGGTCTGTCATCCGCGCAAACTGAAAATCTGGGAACCATGTTGACCGACAACGTCGAAAGAAAATGCTTGGTTGTCTGCTCTGCGTTCAAGGAAGGTTAGTGCCATGCTGCCTTGCATGGCTCACGTGTTCATTGGTTGTCAAGCGGGTTCCTAAAATCTCACATCCCACTGCATAGACATCCTTAAAATGGTCACGTAAAACTTTTGCATGCATTTCAGCCTCATTCCTACTTACCGCAAAGAGGAACACCCTCATTGAGCGCAAGCGGCAGAACAACCAAGAATTCACAGCATCGCCTGATCTGCGACGTTGCAACAAGGTGGAATTCAACCCTACACATGTTAGAACACCGCCATTTACGAACAGGCGAAAGGCCATCACCGATTTCCTGATGTTACAGCGACTGGATAAAGGGTACTTACTCCCCTGTGTAACTTAGATGTCAGCCCAATTGGCAGCTCATGCGTGACACCTGCCGCTTGCTCAGGCCTTTGAGGAGCCCCACGCTATTCGTTGAGTCGGCAGGACTATGGATGACCGACGTCATTCCTCTGTTTGGCACGCCCTGGAACAAAGGCACTGTTAACAATGGCTGGTCAGGGTGCGGTAGACGTGGCGCACAGATCTCAACGCCACATGACCCTGTAGTGGGGGGCAGGACAGTGAAGAAGAGGATGAGGTGTTATGAAGGACATTGGTGTCTCAGGAATTATTGAGTGAAATCTTCTATTAACTTATTGGTTTTTCCACTCAAGCGGACAGGAGTGGAGGAGCAGGAGCATCTGGTAGAGGAAGGAAGAGGAGACAGAGGACCCAGACGCACCGTTGCAGTATGCTGTGGAGATGGAGGCAGGGGAAGTCCTTCACATTTCCTTGGCTCAAATGGCCCCCATGCATGCTCGGTTGCTTGCCGTAGCGACAGCTGTAATAATAACCAACTTCAGACAGAGGGATGACTTTTGGCTGTCCACCTTGTGGACCCTCGCTACCGTTCAAAAATGGGGGTGGCCTTTTTCACACCTGCTGAGAGGAGGCCAAAATAACTTTATACTATAGTCTCAGCTTGGCGTACCACCTATGTAGTCCTATCTCTGGTCTCTGCCTTTCTGCCTTTCTGCCAACGTCCATTCCTCAGACAACTGTGGGCCCTGTGCGCTTCGCGTTCCGCTGCCATGGCAGCAGGGAAGGGGTGGGGGTGGTAGGAGCATTGGCATCTCCCCAGCAGCGTCCTGCCACAGTCTGCAAAGTCGATGGGATGAGATAGCTTTCTTCACCAGCGCAGTGAGTTCTGAAACTACTAAACCAGTTCGCAGCAGCAGCAGCAGCAATCAGGTGGACCTGAGAGCAGGACCTCAAACAACAGGCTTAGGCCTACTTTTGGACAGCAACCCTGCCAACCGAGGTAGACAATTTCCCCCTTGACTAGGGTGGGCAACGAAACTTGACCTTTGGCCCCCAACTAGCTGACATTTGCCCTTGAAAGGCTGTCTCATGCCCGGCCAGTAGGTGGCAACGGAGCGCATCGGAGGCGCCGGTATTGTTAGTGACACGACTGTCCCGGCAAAGAGGAGGACTCAATTGTAACTCACGCGGAGGACACGACTCCTCCAACTGACATCCAAGTGTGGAGAGACATACACCGTTTGTGTCCAAATGAAATCATAGAGGTGTGCAGATTACTGGCCTTCATAGCTGCTGCCAGGCCCCTAGTTCCTGACATGGGGCCTGACTATATACCGCACTCCATGAATCTGGGTCCCTGCCTCCCAATCGCCACATGCATGTCCACTTTCAGGTCTCCTCACACTGCTGGTGTGTTCCATTTTTGACATAGGGTGCTGGCAGATTACGGGCCTCCCATAGCTGCTGCCAGGCCCCTAATCTGCCATGGGCCCCAATATACCGCCTCCTCATGCTGCTGCCAGGTCCAGAGTCTCTCATGGGTCCCTGTACGGCCTCCCATTGCTGCTGTCTCCATCGCCACACTCTCTGCCATGTGCCACTTTCAGGTCCTCCTCACACATGCTGGTGTGTTCCATTTTTGTCATAGGGTGTGCTGGCAGATTACGGGCCTCCCATTGCTGCTGCCAGGCCCATAATCTGCCATGGGCCCCCGTACCGCCTCCTCATGCTGCTGCCAGGTCCAGAGTCTCTCATGGGTCCCTGTACGGCCTCCCATTGCTGCTGTCTCCATCGCCACACTCTGCCATGTGCCACTTTTCAGGTCTCCTCACACTGCTGGTGTGTTCCATTTTTGTCATAGGGGCCTCCCATGCTGGCAGATTACGGGCCTCCCCTGCTGCCAGGCCCTTAATCTGCCATGGGCCCCTGTACCAGCCTCCCTCATGCTGCTGTCAGGTCCACAGTGTCTCATGGGTCCCTGTACGGCCTCCCATTGCTGCTGTCTCCATCGCCACACTCTGCCATCTGCCACTTTCAGGTCTCCTCACTGGCTGGTGTGTTCCATTTTGTCATAGGGATTGCTCGGCAGATACGACGGCCTCCCATTGCTTCTGCCAAGGCCCGTAATCTGCATGGGCCCCTGATTACGCCTCCTCATGCTGCTTGCCAGGTCCACAGTGTCTCATGGGTCCCAGTACGGCCTCCCATTGCTGCTGTCTCCATCGCCACACTCTGCCAGTTGTTGTGCCACTTTCAGGTCTCCCTCACACTGCTGGTGTGTTCCATTTTGTCATAGGGTGCTGGCAAGATTACGGGGCCTCCATTGCTGCTGCCAGGCCCGTTAATCTGCCATGGGCCCCCGAATTACCGCCTCCTCATGCTGCTGCCAGGTCCAGAGTCTCTCATGGGTCCCTGTACGGCCTCCCCATTGCTGCTGTCTCCATCGCCACACTCTTGCCATGTGCCACTTTCAGGTCTCCTCACACTGCTGGGTGGGGATGTGTTCCATTTTGTCATAGGGTGCTGGCAGATTACGGGACTCCCCATTGCTGCTGCCAGGCCTGTTCTGCCATGGGCCCCTGTACCGCCTCCTCATGCTGCTGCCAGGTCCAGAGTGTGTCATGGGTCCCTGTACGGCCTCCCATTGCTGCTGTCTCCATCGCCACACTCTGCCATGTGCCACTTTCAGGTCTCCTCACACTGCTGGTGGGTTCCATTTTGTCATAGGGTGCTGGCAGATTACGGGCCTCCCATTGCTGCTGCCAGGCCCGTAATCTGCCATGGGCCCCCGTACCGCCTCCTCATGATGCTGCCAGGTCCAGAGTGTCTCATGGGTCCCTGTACGGCCTCCCATTGCTGCTGTCTCCATCGCCACACTCTGCCATGTGCCACTTTCAGGTCTCCTCACACTGCTGGTGGGTTCCATTTGTCATAGGGTGCTGGCAGATTACGGGCCTCCCATTGCTGCTGCCAGGCCCGTAATCTGCCATGGGCCCCCGTACCGCCTCCTCATGCTGCTGCCAGGTCGAGAGTGTCTCATGGGTCCCTGTACGGCCTCCCATTGATGCTGTCTCCATCGCCACACTCTGCCATGTGCCACTTTCAGGTCTCCTCACACTGCTGGTGGGTTCCATTTTGTCATAGGGTGCTGGCAGATTACGGGCCTCCCATTGCTGCTGCCAGGCCCGTAATCTGCCATGGGCCCCCGTACCGCCTCCTCATGCTGCTGCCAGGTCCAGAGTGTGTCATGGGTCCCTGTACGGCCTCCCATTGCTGCTGTCTCCATCGCCACACTCTGCCATGTGCCACTTTCAGGTCTCCTCACACTGCTGGTGGGTTCCATTTTGTCATAGGGTGCTGTATGGCCTCCCATTGCTGCTGCCAGGCCCGTAATCTGCCATGGGCCCCCGTACCGACTCCTCATGCTGCTGCCAGGCCCGTAATCTGTCATGGGCCCCTGTACCACCTCCTCATGCTGCTGCCAGGTCCAGAGTGTGTCATGGGTCCCTGTACGGCAGCGGTTCTCAACCTGGGGGTCGAACGACCATTTCCCAGGGGTCGCCTAAGACCATCGGAAAAACACATATTTCCGATGGTCTTAGGAACCGAGACACCGCTGCTGTCTCCGGCGATGTGTGGGCGGGATGATACGCTGCTCCTGTCACCTGGCCACACCTCCGGGATCGCTCAGCAGCTCCGCCTCCTCGCCGCTGATTGGCCACCGGAACTGTAGCTCAGGAGAGGCACACAGGCGGCCAATCACCGGCGAGGAGGTGGAGCTTGGAGAGGAGGAGCCGAGCGACAGCGCGCGTACATCAAAGAAGACCGAGGGAGCTGCCGGAGCGAGTGAAGAGGAGAGCGGCCAGAGAAGGAAGACAGCTGACAGGTAAGTGAGAGAGCGAGCCCAGGCTGGAGCAGGGGTCAGCAAAGTAAGTATCATTGGTGTCAGTGGGAGGAATAGTGCCCCATCATTTGTGTCACTAATACCAACGATGGGGCACTATTCCTCCCCCCACTGACACCAAAGATGGGGCACTATTCCTCCCCCCACTGACACCAACGATGGGGCACTATTCCTCCCCCCCACTGACACCAACGATGGGGCACTATTCCTCCCCCCACTGACACCAACGATGGGGCACTATTCCTCCCCCCACTGACACCAACGATGTGGCACTATTCCTCCCCCCACTGACACCAACGATGTGGCACTATTCCTCCCCCCACTGACACCAACGATGGGGCACTATTCCTCCCCCCACTGACACCAACGATGGGGCACTATTCCTCCCCCCACTGACACCAATGATGGGGCACTATTCCTCCCACTGACACTAACGATGGGGCACTATTCCTCCCACTGACACAAACGATGGGGCACTATTCCTCCCACTGACACCAACGATGGGGCACTATTCCTCCCACTGACACCAACGATGGGGCACTATTCCTCCCACTGACACCAACGATGGGGCACTATTCCTCCCACTGACACCAGTGATGGGGCACTATTCATCCCACTGACATCAGTGATGGGGCACTATTCCTCCCACTGATACCAACGATGGGGCACTATGCATCCCACTGACATCAGTGATGGGGCACTATTCCTCCCACTGACACCAGTGATGGGGCACTATTCATCCCACTGACATCAGTGATGGGGCACTACTCCTTCCACTGACACCAATGACATGGCACTACTCCTCCCACTGCAAAATTACAGTTATGAAGTAGCAATGAAAATAATTTTATGGTTGGGGGTCACCACAACATGAGGAACTGTATTAAGGGGTCGCGGCATTAGAAAGGTTGAGAACCACTGCTGTACGGCCTCCCATTGCTGCTGTCTCCATCGCCACACTCTGCCATGTGCCACTTTCAGGTCTCCTCACACTGCTGGTGGGTTCCATTTTGTCATAGGGTGCTGGCAGATTACGGGCCTCCCATTGCTGCTGCCAGGCCCGTAATCTGCCATGGGCCCCCGTACCGCCTCCTCATGATGCTGCCAGGTCCAGAGTGTCTCATGGGTCCCTGTACGGCCTCCCATTGCTGCTGTCTCCATCGCCACACTCTGCCATGTGCCACTTTCAGGTCTCCTCACACTGCTGGTGGGTTCCATTTTGTCATAGGGTGCTGGCAGATTACGGGCCTCCCATTGCTGCTGCCAGGCCCGTAATCTGCCATGGGCCCCGTACCGCCTCCTCATGCTGCTGCCAGGTCGAGAGTGTCTCATGGGTCCCTGTACGGCCTCCCATTGATGCTGTCTCCATCGCCACACTCTGCCATGTGCCACTTTCAGGTCTCCTCACACTGCTGGTGGGTTCCATTTTGTCATAGGGTGCTGTATGGCCTCCCATTGCTGCTGCCAGGCCCGTAATCTGCCATGGGCCCCCGTACCGACTCCTCATGCTGCTGCCAGGCCCGTAATCTGTCATGGGCCCCTGTACCACCTCCTCATGCTGCTGCCAGGTCCAGAGTGTGTCATGGGTCCCTGTACGGCAGCGGTTCTCAACCTGGGGGTCGAACGACCATTTCCCAGGGGTCGCCTAAGACCATCGGAAAACACATATTTCCGATGGTCTTAGGAACCGAGACACCGCTGCTGTCTCCGGCGATGTGTGGGCGGGATGATACGCTGCTCCTGTCACCTGGCCACACCTCCGGGATCGCTCAGCAGCTCCGCCTCCTCGCCGCTGATTGGCCACCGGAACTGTAGCTCAGGAGAGGCACACAGGCGGCCAATCACCGGCGAGGAGGTGGAGCTTGGAGAGGAGGAGCCGAGCGACAGCGCGCGTACATCAAAGAAGACCGAGGGAGCTGCCGGAGCGAGTGAAGAGGAGAGCGGCCAGAGAAGGAAGACAGCTGACAGGTAAGTGAGAGAGCGAGCCCAGGCTGGAGCAGGGGTCAGCAAAGTAAGTATCATTGGTGTCAGTGGGAGGAATAGTGCCCCATCATTTGTGTCACTAATACCAACGATGGGGCACTATTCCTCCCCCCACTGACACCAAAGATGGGGCACTATTCCTCCCCCCACTGACACCAACGATGGGGCACTATTCCTCCCCCCACTGACACCAACGATGGGGCACTATTCCTCCCCCCACTGACACCAACGATGGGGCACTATTCCTCCCCCCACTGACACCAACGATGTGGCACTATTCCTCCCCCCACTGACACCAACGATGTGGCACTATTCCTCCCCCCACTGACACCAACGATGGGGCACTATTCCTCCCCCCACTGACACCAACGATGGGGCACTATTCCTCCCCCCACTGACACCAATGATGGGGCACTATTCCTCCCACTGACACTAACGATGGGGCACTATTCCTCCCACTGACACAAACGATGGGGCACTATTCCTCCCACTGACACCAACGATGGGGCACTATTCCTCCCACTGACACCAACGATGGGGCACTATTCCTCCCACTGACACCAACGATGGGGCACTATTCCTCCCACTGACACCAGTGATGGGGCACTATTCATCCCACTGACATCAGTGATGGGGCACTATTCCTCCCACTGATACCAACGATGGGGCACTATGCATCCCACTGACATCAGTGATGGGGCACTATTCCTCCCACTGACACCAGTGATGGGGCACTATTCATCCCACTGACATCAGTGATGGGGCACTACTCCTTCCACTGACACCAATGACATGGCACTACTCCTCCCACTGCAAAATTACAGTTATGAAGTAGCAATGAAAATAATTTTATGGTTGGGGGTCACCACAACATGAGGAACTGTATTAAGGGGTCGCGGCATTAGAAAGGTTGAGAACCACTGCTGTACGGCCTCCCATTGCTGCTGTCTCCATCGCCACACTCTGCCATGTGCCACTTTCAGGTCTCCTCACACTGCTGGTGGGTTCCATTTTTGTTATAGGGTGCTGTATGGCCTCCCATTGCTGCTGCCTCTACCGCCACACTGTGGCTCCACACTCTGGTTTTGGCCCCGTGACTGCCCAAATGAGTGAAGTGTGCGGTGATTCTAAGATCGACGGCACTCATCTGCATGTCATACTGCCTGACAGTATTATTTCTCTTCCCCAGCAGACTCCAAGGGCATTTAAATTAAAGGTACAGTGTTCTGCACTAATATAAAGGCTCTCTGAAGCCTAGAAACCCTTTTTATAAGTTAAATTCGCAGCGAATATATTCGCCTCTAATCAAATTTATTACTCGAATTCGCCGAATCAGCCGAATTGAATTTTTGAACACTTCGCTCATCTCCAGTACTGAGCTCTGCCATGCTTAGTCAGCAGAAAAGTGAAGGATGGAGAAATACAAGTTGCCAGCAGTTATCTTCAAGCCTCCTGTCAGCCGAATGCCGATCTCCTCTCCATTATCGTTTGACTAATTTGTAGAAAGCATAAAAATGACTTGGCTAAGCTTTTTATTACTCATCCCCAAGAACAATGAATTCACAGGACAAGTCAATGTCTTGAATAAAAGATCCAAGGATCTCGCTTTATTGTTTAAAACATATGACAACACCGGATGACGATTAATAGTGGAGACTAGTCATCTCCAACAGAACTCCCCTCCACTCCACTCCACTCCCATTCCTGTAACTGTCCCCACTTCTCTATTCATGTGATTGCGGTGAGACACATAAATAGACCCCATCACCTTGCAGATTCAGCATGAAGTGAAAGCCCACTGTCAGGGACAGATCCCTTCGGGTCGCGGCAGTATGAGTGCGCATGTGTAGAAGCATGGAAGTTCGCGCATGCGCAGTAGAGTCCACGTCACCGCTAGGCGGGCTATTTAAACCTGCAATACAGTACAATCAATGCCTTCTGGTCTACAACGTCCCTGCACTATTACCTGATTCTGTTGTATTCTGATCTGACCCTGACTAAGAAAGAACTCCGCCTGCACCGACCTCGGCTATCCCTGACCATCCGCCTGCCTGCTCCCTTGTACTTGATCTGCCCGCTTAATACTGACCCGGCTTGTCTGACTCTGCTGCATCTACTTACCTGCACCTGGCTTGCATCCTGATGGCTGCCATACTTACCTGCCGCTGCACCCACGGTCCTGCATCTGGCGTGCATCCTGACCAGGGGCGGACTGACCATTTGGAAACTCGGACACTGCCCGAGGGCCGGGGTCAGTAGGGGGCCCCATGAGATTCCCCTGGTACCTTTTTCATAGGCTTTTTTGAGTTTGGGAAAAGACACAGGGGCCCCATGATCCCCTATTGCCCGGGGGCCCCATGAGTTGTCAGTCCGCCCCTGATCCTGACATGTGCCATACTTGCCTGCCGCTGCACCCACGGTCCTGCACCTGGCCACTGCCATACCTGCCTGCTACCACATCCACGCTCCGGTGTCCAGCCCCATTCTGCATTCTGATTGCTGCCATACCTGTCTGCTGCTGCACCTACGTTCCTGCACCCTGGCCTGCGTCTGGATCTCCTGGGTCTTCAGCTACCTGCCGCCAGCTCCAGAGCCACCCGGCACTCGTACCACTCCTGGCTCTGCGCCCTCTGTTCCCACTATCAGGGGCTCAGAGCGGGAGTCTAAAGAGGACGCCTTCTCTCCACGTCACGCTCCCCAACCAGGTATGTGACACCCACCTTCTTTTTTTTTTTTTTTTTTTTTTTTTTTATTAATACTTTATTAAATTTTTTCACATTTCATCCATTCCAACAGTAAAAGACAAACTTTCTTGTCGATCTAATAACATCAAAATACAAAACTTGTCTTTTTCCCCTCTCCAACCCAATCTCTACAACCCCTTTCCCCCACCCCCCCCTCCATTTCCACTCTGCGTCCTTCCCCTCTCATTAGGAGTCCTAGGGATTTCTTCTACTTTTCCTTAAGATATATCCTTTTTTTTTCTTTTTCCTATTTCCTAAGTTCTACCAATTACCGGTAACTTAATCTTCCTAAACTCCTCCCATTTTTTCTATTTCTTACGAAAACACTCCATTTTATCCTCATCTATTATTTATTTATTTATTTCAGGTACTTATATAACGCCGTCAATTTACGCAGCGCTTTACATATATATTGTACATTCACATCAGTCCCTAACCCTCAAGGGGCGTACAATCTAAGGTCCCTAACCCTCAAGGGGCGTACAATCTAAGGTCCCTAACCCTCAAGGGGCGTACAATCTAAGGTCCCTAACCCTCAAGGGGCGTACAATCTAAGGTCCCTAACCCTCAAGGGGTGTACAATCTAAGGTCCCTAACCCTCAAGGGGCGTACAATCTAAGGTCCCTAACCCTCAAGGGGCGTACAATCTAAGGTCCCTAACCCTCAATCATACATACACATACTAGGGTCAATTTAGACTGGAGCCAATTCACCTACCAGCATGTCTTTGGAGTGTAGGAGGAAACCGGAGGAAACCCACGCAGGCACAGGGAGAACATGCAAACTCCAGGCAGGTGGTGCTGTGGTTGGGAATCGAACCTATGACCCTAGGCGAAAGTGCTAACCATTTAGCCATTGTGCTGCCCTGAGTGGTACCATCTATATGGTAAAGTTCCTTCATTTTACATATCTGATCCACCTTTCTTATCCAGTCCGTTATTTTCGGTGCCTCTTGTTCCCTCCAAAATTTAGGTATCAAGATTTTTGCTGCGTTAATATAATACAATAACCCAGAATTTTTATATTCGACTGTTAGCTCAGTTCCGTGTAAAAGACAGACCCCTGGGTCTTTTTGTATTATTATCCCAGTTACCTCCTGTATCTGGTGGAATATTTCCTCCCAACAGTCCTGGATTTTATAACACTCCCACCAAATGTGAACCATTGTGCCCCTTTCTCCACATCCACGCCAACACAAAGGTGAATTATCCCTGTTTTGTCTATGCGCTGTATTTGGTGTCATATACCACATTGCCAAACATTTACAATTCATCTCCACATCTTTCATATTTACATTTCCATGTGTTCATTTATAAATCTTTTTTTGTTTTTCCTCATCTATCATTATTCCTAATTCCCTTTCCCATTTCTCAGTATATACAGGGATTGTGTTGTCAATCTAGTGAGTATTTTATAGGTTCCGTGTTTCTCATGACCCCGTGTACTAAATAAGTGTTCAAAGGGGTTCCACTCATCTTTTTTCCTTAAGGCCCTGGGAAGGTTTCCTATGAAATGTTTCAATTGAAGATTGCGCCACTCATCCACTCTGGTAAACAATTCCATCCTATTTTTCACTTCCACTAAGGGACAGATTTCCTCGCCTTTCATTATGTCTCTTAATTGTGCATCTCCTTTGTTTTATCCGCTTCCCTGCAATACTTTCGTTCTCCGGCGGGAAACAATTTATGTTTACCATCTCCTGTATTATGTCCGCAGTCTCCGGTCATCTCCTGTACTGTGTTCACAGTCTCTGGTCATCTTCTGTATTATGTCCGCAGTCTCTGGTCATCCCCTGTACCGTCCGCAGTCTCTGGTCATCTCCTGTACTGTGTCTGCAGTCTCTGGTCATCTCCTGTACTGTGTCCGCAGTCTCTGGTCATCTCCTGTACTATGTCCGCAGTCTCTGGTCATCTCCTGTACTATGTCCGCAGTCTCTGGTCATCTCCTGTACTGTGTCCGCAGTCTCTGGTCATCTCCTGTACTATGTCCGCAGTCTCTGGTCATCTCCTGTAGTAGGTCTGCAGTCTCTGGTCATCCCCTGTACTGTTCCTGCAGTCTCTGGTCATCTCCTGTACTATGTCCGCAGTCT